AATCAAATAAACATTAAAATAGGAAGATCATTCTGAAATACTGGCATCATTGGACAACAAAAAACACGCACAAGTTTTCGAAGGGCATTCATCAAAAACATTAAGGCTGTGAACCATTTGCTGAGTTAAATATAACTCGTGGTTAAAAGTGACATTTCGAAAGTTATTCTTGATGTTCGAAAATCCCTGTGCTGTCGATCGACCGATTTTCGAGAAGAACTCAGCCACGGTTGTCAACATTTAACTTCTTGTCTGTCAGAAATAACCACGCTCGGATAGCAGGGTTAATCGATAACTTTCCATCTGTCAAATTTTAACCAAAAGTTAAAATACTCCACAAAATGGTTCAGAGCCTAAGAAGAGTGAGAAGCTCTTAATATGGACCAACAGGTCTGTGCCATAAAAAGGGAGAAAAGGGAGTGAGAAGCTCGATTGTCAAGTCCCGTTCCGGGTTGTTGCCACAACGCAATTTTTGCAAACCACAACCGTGAATCTCCATAAAGTCCATGGCTTCTTCAAAACCGAATCGGATTCCTCTACAAAGTCAGCGCATATCCTCACCCTCCGGCTCAATCAATCCTAACAATACCGGGTGTAAAGGGTGATACGGTCAAAATTTGGTCAAGGGAAAACGCGTGTAAATCGGTGAAATCGTTTATTTAAAAAATCAAATTAAATTTCTTTTTCAAGTTCAATTAGTATAAAATTCAGGAAAAATATTCAGTTAGACTTCCGCTTTTCCAAATCCGAATTGCCGGGCCTTACGCTTGACCCCTGCCATCAGATTTTGTACAGCCACCTTGTCCACCTTCTTCGCCGCAGAAAGCCAGTTTGCCTTGAACTGCTGCTCGCCCTTAGCAGTTTTTTTGGTCTTCTTTAGGTTCCGCTTGACAATAGCCCAGTATTTCTCAATTGGGCGGAGCTCTGGCGTGTTGGGAGGGTTCTTGTCCTTGGGAACCACCTGCACGTTGTTGGCGGCGTACCACTCCATGGCCTTTTTACCGTAATGGCAAGATGCCAAATCCGGCCAAAACAGTACGGAACAACCGTGTTTCTTCAGGAAAGGCAGCAGACGTTTATTCAAACACTCTTTCACGTAAATTTCTTGGTTGACAGTCCCGGAAGCTATGAAAATGCTGCTTTTCAAGCCACAGGTACAGATGGCTTGCCAAACCAGATATTTCTTTGCGAACTTTGACAGTTTCATGTGCTTGAAAACATCTGCTACCTTTCCCCTTCCTTTTGCTGTATAAAACTCCTGTCCCGGAAGCTGCTTGTAGTCGGCTTTGACGTAGGTTTCGTCGTCCATTACCACGCAGTCAAACTCCGTCAGCATCGTCGTGTACAGCCTCCGGGATCGCGCTTTGGCCGTCGTATTTTGTTTATCATCGCGATTTGGAGTCACTACCTTCTTGTAAGTCGATAGTCCGGCTCGTTTTTTGGCTCGATGCACGGTTGTAGAGGATACACCCAGCTTATTTGCGGCATCTCGGAGAGAGAGGTTAGGGTTTCGCTTGAAACTACCGGCAACTCTCTTTGTCGTCTCAGCGGCTTCCGGTTTTCGATTTCCCCCCGATCCAGACTTCCTGGCTGTCGACAAACGTTCCCCAAACACTTTAATTACATTTGTAACGGTTGATTTGGCAACTTTTAGCGATTTTGCCAACTTTGCGTGCGAGTAGCTCGGATTTTCGCGATGCGCAAGCAAAATTTTGATACGCTGCTCTTCTTGCTTGGACGGCATTTTGACAACTGAAGAGTGAATTCCAAAATCAAAATAGGAGCAACATTCTACACACACACACCTTCAAAATGAGGGGTGTTCAGGTTTTTTAAATGCAAAATTGAAAGAAATACGTCAAGTTGATATTGACCAAATTTTGACCGTATCACCCTTTAATATGAAAAAAAGCTCCTCCTATCGATCAAATCCTCGACAAAGATATCATCCCTTTCGGACTCATGATATCCTCCAGCTCCGTATTAAAAATCGTTACACAGACTCCCATCCACATTTCCTCCTATCTAGGCTCAATCCGCTCATTAGATGCAGAAACAGACCAGAAATACCATCCGACTGGAGCTGGACTAAGCGACATACCATTTTCGTATTTTTCGTCTGATTGCGTCTTTCCACGGTGGCGGCGGCTGCTACACCAACCATTCAATCGTTCAGCATAGAATATTGCAGGATAGTCTCGACAAATTTCACCCGTTTAAGTCCGTATCTCGGAACGAAAACGACCTAGTCCCGGGTCATCTCCATGTTGGGTTTCTCCAATCAAAATGAAAACAAAACCTATCAAAATACCGAGGGGGGCGACACATCTAAATCTCAATTCTAGTTGCTCAACGAATCTCACACTAGCGAATCAAACATCGAAAAATCTTCTTTGATTTTTCGCATCTACTTGCATCGCGCATCATTTTTTTGCAGGAAATCTTCAAAATTGTCATCCATCTTCTTCATATCTACTCAGCGTGCGCGCAGCTAACCACAGCATTGAGTAAAGTGCTTGAGGGGGACGTACTGTCAAATCAGCCCACTGATCATTCTTGTATGAAATTGGTTCCAAATGTAAACAAACCACGTAGGTTTGTTATGGCTTGTTTATGTTTGGAACCAGTTATACGAGGTAGGCGACCATTTTTCCTATTTGACAGCCACATCCCACCGCTGGTAAAGAGGCATCCATTATCCATTTGACAGGTCTTCAGTTCGATTGGAATAACTTTTCCTATGACTTTGACAGATAATCGATTGTTCCAATTTTGACATGTCGTCTTTTTATAAATTCAGACTACCACTATTCACAAGCAAATAAATTCAGTTAGATGAATGGCAACCTCGACACTGCCGGCACAGATGCGGCACATGTGAGGAACGCTGAGAAAAAAGTTGGCACAATATAAGTGTCCCATATGTCTTTATTTAAAAAAAAAAGAGCAAAAACTTCACTGAAGACACCACACGTCCAAATATTAAAAAAGAAAGTTTTAGAACTGCTTTCCAGCTAAATTCTCACCTTGGTTTGAAATGCATTTAACACATTTATTAGAACCGAGGGGGGTGGGCATCTAAATCTGAATTCTAGATGCCTGAAAATCTCACACTAGTAAATCAATCTACGAAAAATCTTCTTTCATTTCTTGCATCTTTTTGCAGGAAATCTTCAGAAGCGCCATCAATCTTCTTTCTATCTACTCAGCGTGCACGCATCTAACCACAGCAAAACCTTTTTTTCCTGCATCGTAGATAGTGTCGCCCCCTCGTTCAGAACACCGGAACATTGATTATAATGCAACATTTTCAGTTCTTTTAACTACGAAATGTTGGTATGGATTCTAACTACTTTCAACTGTTTTTTTGTAGTCTGCTACATATGCCAAAACCCAACATTAGGCACAGATATAGTGCAGTGTTACCAGTTACTTAAAGATCATAAAAATTGTACCATGGGTGTCAAACAGTGTCTATGAAGTTTCTCAGGTGTACTCATATGTGATTTTGGCACACTGTGCTGAGTGACCAACCCCTTGAGAAGCCTATGAAAATCGAGATAAATCAGCTTGATTTTCATAAAACTGACCTGACCATGCTGGTGACATGGATTTGTACAATTTATAAGACCCTGGGCACCTATGAAACCTCCTTCAAATTTGTCACCTTCTGCTTTTTAACGATTAAGACGATAATATGCTCCATACTACAAAGTAACTTGGAACTCTTTTAGGAAAAAAACCCCTACCAACGCCACTGAACCTCCCGCCATTAATGTGGGACCTCTGGTGGCGCACGAGCGCGATAAAGATTTGAATAAGAAATCGATTATATATTTCTTCTCTCCCCCGGTGAAAAGGGCACTAATTTACTTATAATTTACAACCGCCCTGCCCCTAGCGCTCCAGCCAACCATCGAATGTGACAGAATGCAGCCGATGTGTGTGATTCCCTTTTCTTTCCAAAATTAAAAGTGGCATTATTTAAGACCCTATACAGAGTAAAAAAAGCGCTAAATTGATGACACGGGGGTCGTCGATTGTCGGTAGTAAATCAAAAGCCCCCCTCGCTGCTGATAAACATCTGTTACCGTTGTTGTTCGGTCCCAATCTTAAACCTATAGTAGACCTTACTACGAACGAACGGAAAGATCCGATTACAAACCTCTGCTCTGTGGCCAGGGGGAGGTGGGAGGTGCTTGGTTTACTAAAGCGAGTCGTTTGGTTATTTTTACGATAATTAAATTATGAATGTGGTCCGTCGATCCCGTTTGGTTTATGACGGCCGTTCATCTGTCGCTTTGGGGCACCACCACCATTTGAGATGCAAAATTTATGGTCCAATGAGCGAATTAATGACCGGCTGAAAGTGACAGCATTTTGACGCGGGCGTGCATGTGGACAGACAGCGGATGGAATCGATAAGGCTTCGTTGTTTTTTTTGGCGTGATCTGCGCAAAACTGTATTGAAATGTGACACAAGTCCCATAAAAGCAGCGGGTGGAAGCGAGTTGGTGTTTTTTGTCTAACCTCATCGGAACAGGTTCTTAGCAGCCGCCGTGGCTACTTAATAATGATTATTTTAATTATTGTTATTATTCAAATCTTCCAGCAAGATAGGAGTGGCCAGGAACGAACGAGGAACCGAACGAAGAATGCTTATCTGGAAAACATTTGTCTGGCAGCACCCGTGGCAACCGACTTCATCATAGATGACTGCCAAGAACGACGAGGAGGCGAGCTCGAACTGGTAGAACGTGATGAAGATGGTCAAACAAGATCTTCCACACCGCGGTTGCGCGCACACACCAACTAATTGATGATAATGCAGAATGAATGTGACACTGCGCACAGCCTACTTTGTTTGGGTTGGTATACGGAGCCTGTCAAAATTCGATCCGTTCGATCATAAATCTCCTTGGATATCTTCCTATATGACTTATATGTTTCCAGGGAAAAGTGAGCCCCTTTCGATGAGGGGGATGAGGATATCAACTTACATTATCTAGAAAGATCTCCAGCGGCGAGGAGATGCTCGGCTTCCCCAGGTACCAGTCCTGCGTGGGGCTGTACTCGTCCAGCAGTCGCACCAGCCGTGGCACGTTGACGTAGTTGTCGTCGTCGAAATGGCACCACCATCTGGAATTAAATAAAAATCAATCAGTTTATTATTATAGGTTTATAGAAACAGGATTTACGGAGGAATTCGTACAATTTTTCGATCAAAACATCGTCATCACTCTCAGTAACGACACCTAGCGAGCATATGAGGAAACAGTTTATCATAGCTATAAATACCAAAGCATGTCCCAAAAAGCGGTTGTCAAGCAACTACTACCGTGAACACCCATTTAACTGAACGACACTTCGTGCATATTAGCGGGGTTCACTTTTAATTTGAACTTGTAGTAAGCCTACACGGAGATGATTTTTTTTTCCTTTATTTGAGAGATGTTTAGCCATAGGCTAGTTCATCTCTTAGGAACACGGAGATGAAAAACTACCCAAAATTAAGTACTTTTCCCTCAATTCCGGGGTTCAATCCAATAACCCAAATTTGAGTAAATCGCAATCGTTTCCATTTAACAACAGCAAAAAAAAACCTGCCTATTCTTAAGTATATTCTACCCAAAATTAAGTATAATTCACAAAAATTTGAGAATATGCAATTTACTCAAAAGCAACTCAAATGTATGCTGAACTATATCGTTGGGTCGAATCTCACGTTCCTTTTTTGACAACAATAAAGAGTGCAAATGAGAGGCTGAACTCAATATTAAGTAAAAAGAACTCAAATTTTGGGTAGTATTTTGATGTAGGGCTACGTCTATGATTTCTATATGGGGGTACACTTTGTGAAAACCGAAAATGGAACATGTAACGAAATTATGACAGGTTTTGAACTTTAATAACTCAGCTTCCCCTGGACCAATTTGCAGAAATATGTTTACGCATCTGTTAAACTTAGGACTTCATCACTTTTTTAAAAATTTCACTATTGACAATTGCACGAATGTGCAACTGTTGCTATTATAATTAAAATTATCACCGATTGCCTGCGGAAAGCAATTTCCCTAAAACAGATTTCAAAGTTGAATTCCATACGGTCTCACCAAACGGTGTTTATTCAGTCACCGCGTGGTGAGTGGTGGTGTTCTCTAGTACACAACGAAAGGCTGTCTGCAAGCAGCGAGCACATGAGCATCCATAGAAGGAGGAAGAAGCCGCACCGCTATTGATCGAAATCAGTAGCTCTTCGCGAGTTGCTGTGGGTCATCTATGTCATGGGCGTCATACTAAAGTGTATAAACAGAGAGAACCCGTTTAAATTCCAATTCCTACACAAAACACAAGCTTCTGCTGCAGTTAACAAATAAGATTTATTATATAAGACCACATAGTCCTACATCACCATTGCGTACAACCCCGTAGGGCTGTCCCTTGTAGTTTTTTCTCCGTGTACGACGATCAGAAAAGCGAGTTTCTGGTAGCCCTATTTGCTGTTTTGTTTTGTTTCTGCGTTCCATTTCGTTTTACTCTATACCTAAGGCTGTGAACCATTTGCCGAGTTAAATTTAACTCGTGGTTAAAAGTGACATTTCGAAAGTTATTTTCTATGTTCGAAAATCCCTGTGCTGTCGATCGACCGGTTGTCGAGAAGAACTTAGTCAAAATTTAATTTCTTGTCTGTCAGAAGTAACCACGCTCGGATAGCAGGGTTAATCGATAACTTGCCATCTGTCAAATTTTAACCAAAAGTTAAAATAATCCACCAAATGGTTCAGAGCCTAAGAGAAGAGAAGACTATACGGGGGCAAAAACGAACCACTTTTCTGTCAAACGCGAACCAGCTCGTGATTGGCCGATTTCAAGTGCGTAAGATAGAGATAGAGATAGATATAGATAGAGATAGATATAGATAGAGATAGATATAGATAGAGATAGATATAGATAGAGATAGATATAGATAGAGATAGATATAGATAGAGATAGATATAGATAGAGATACAAGAGTAAGAAGCCAGTTGTTTCCTTTTCCCCTTAGGGTAAGTCCATAAGCAAACGTCAGGCTGTGCGTGAAACATGGCGGACTTCGTACTATCATAGAGGTAACTATCCTTTCACTCCATCGAAAATTTTCATAGGAAACTGTCAATCTTCGCTGGAAGAAACGATTTTTCGACGGTGCCGTCAACGCCAATATAAAGTTGTTTATTATTTTCTTCCGACTAACCTAGAAAATGTACGAAATTAGATCTGTCAAAATGAGTTTGACAGTGATTTGTTATGTATTTTCCTCGGATTTTCACTAAAACGCTCTCACATATCGCACCAATTCAACCGGTCAGCCGGCGCCGGTGGTGTAGTGGTAAGCGTGACTGTTTTCTCATCCTGATTGTTCATGTATGGGTGCGATATCCTACGCAGGTGTTGAAGCTGTTTTCCTACACATTTGCCGTCAATGGATGGCAATCGATGTCCGTCGGTGATTGGCACTAGATTGCGGAACAGATCTGACGTTAAATAAAGGAATGAAGCAGCTCGTTGAACGCTCGAGCAAGGTTAGCGGGGTTCAAACTAAAAAGTGTTCAGTTCAAGAACGATCAGATTACCGGGGGTCTACGGTAGGTTGGTTTCTGATTTAGCAATACAGCAGTAAAACACAGATCTTTTACGAGAAAATTTACAACACACAGCGAATTTATTGATTCTTCATCAGTTGTTTTGGCACGAAGAACGCTGTCTTCAACTCCTTCCGACTACGGAAGACCTTCTCGCCTGGCTGGACTACGGTGTGCATTCCTCCGCAAGATCTTGCCGATCGGATGGAAACGCTGGGACCATCCAACAGGGTAGTGTTCCGCTTGGCTGGGATCGATTTCTTCTTGTTCTTGTTTTTGCCGCTCGGTGGTTTAACCGGATCGTTCGGAAAATGGACGTTCATCTCGCTGGGGCTGCTGCTACGGTGGCTTACTTCAACTGTCAAAACCTGTCGTCTCTGTGACTACTAGATGAGGTAGTCGACGATGCACACGGATCTTTACTCACCATCCGAAAGATTCGTTCGTCCGGTTTGGTAACCGTAAAAGACCCTCCGGCGGCTCGTTTTGCTCGTATCCGGGCTAGGGCTTCGCTTCTCGGAAGCTTTCGAATGATCTTCTTCGGTTTTCCTTTTCCTGGTGGCGCCACGGGACGGTCGTCGCGATCCCTTTGCACGACTTCGGTGTCGCAGGCGATGCAGTTCAGATCCTTGAGCAGCTGGTGAGTCGTTCCAGCCGATTCAACCGGTTCTGCACCGTCGAATCCTGCCTTTTCGGCGAGTTTGTCTACCAAAGCGTTCAGCTGGTCTTTTTCCGTGCAGAGTTGGGACAATTTTGCATTCATTTCGTTGTTCTCGTCGACTAGGCGGGTGATCACGTCGTTCATTTGATCGCGCTGTTGGATTAGATCTTGCATTTGTGTCTTCAATGCTTCCATCTCCTTGCTTAAGTCGACGACCTTTTGGCAATTGTTTTCCTGCTCCCGCAGTCGATTCTCATCGACCATATCCCGTTCGGCATTATCCTTCACCTCTTGAACTGTTCGCTGGAGGTTTGCCATCATCTCCTCTAGAAATTTCAACCGATCATCCATCGCTTCCTGACCGGCCTTCAGCTGTTCTTCCAACCCAGTGATCGCTTCCTTCGTCCGTTCGTCATTCTCGGCGAGCAAGTTGTTCAATCCTTCAACCGTTTGCCCTTTATCATCACAGCACTTCTTCAGTCGCTCCTCCAACGACTTTAGCTGCTCATCCAAACTCTGCAACGTTTCGGAATGCCTCTTGAAGGTATCGCAGATCTGATCCTGTCCTTCCGGACCACCCGTTTCCGGTCCACCATCCTCCACCGCTTCATCGCTGGCTTCGAGCGCTTCCTGAATATCCCGAACTCCTCCCACCAACAGGTGCAGCAACTTGTACAGCCGATTGCAGTTGATGATCCCATCGGGGACGCCGATCGAGAGGTCCACTAGCCGGGGTAGATCTTCATCGGACATTTTCCTAAAACAAAATTCTAAACGTTGGTACTTCAGGTAAATTTGACAACTCAATCGACCCGAAGACAGCCTACTTTGATTCCTATCGCTTCCGGACGTTCATCTTGGAACTCTTGGACGCATTCTTCATCTTTCGCTTGATCACGCACAAACAATCTTGGCTGGACACCTGGGTCCTGTTACCGGCCGCATCCTGACAGCTGAGACACAGCGGAACCTGCTCATTGCCCGGAGTACCCTTTTGATCCTTGTCCACCTGACTGATCATGCTTTCGATCATTTTCTTCAGATCAGGAACGACGGTCGAATGCATTTTCTCCTTAACGAGCAGCTCGATCCGCTTCGGTAGGTCATCGCTAGCCGGCAGACTCCGAAGCTTTGTCTCGATCCACTTTTTCAGCTCTGGGATTTGAATGTTGTTTGTATTCTTCGGATTGACGATCATCTTTGAGGATTTGCTCTGCTTGGACGACCCCGGCTTGCCGGGATGATTCCAGGTGGACCATTCTCGGGATTCTTTCGGTTCAATGCAGGATTGGGTTTTGAGGGATTTCCTCGAACTGGATCGACGTCCGGGAAGGGACTGCCCGGGTTTTGACATCTTGTTTAGTTCTTGTTCGAGACTTTTCACCTTCAGTTCCAGCTCGGTGAGCATCTTCTTCTGCTTTTCCGACATGGTCGTCAGGTATTTGACCTGATCATTGATCTTGTCGGTGGCATTGGTCTGGGTAGATTTCGATCCAGCACTGCATTTGTAGTTCATTTTGATGTTATTTAAATCCGCCAGGTTCACTACAACCACGTGCAGCAGTTCGTGCAAGTTTTCACAGTTGATCGATCCTCCAGGTGGAATGGCTTCATCCACCAACTCCTCTAGTTGGTTGTTTATTGACATTATTCCACGGAAACACGATCGCAATTTTGAAACTGACGGCCGAAAAATCAAAACATGTCCAACTCTGATTTATGTTCCGGTTGACAGATGGCCGCCCGGCCATCTTCGATGGACGTTTCCCACCGCACAGCAGCAGCGAGGTGGTTCGATCTATCGATCGCCATCATTGATTGATTAACTACGATGATCATGCAAAAATGCTCGAGGA